AGTGTCTAGGGGGTGGGGGAGGGAGGAGAGGGCATGTGGTCCCTTCCTTAACCACCACTCTTACTTTTGCACATCCTTCCTCTCTCTGAACTGTAATTCTCTCTTTTATTTATGTCCCCTTTGCTCTCTGCTCTCTTCCTTTCTCCCCAAGGCCCACCAATATAGCTAGAACACATGAACCTGATAGTCAGTGGGGACTTTGCTCTGTTTTGGTACATTGTGATTCTCCTGTAAAGGCTGAAGTTTTCTTTCTTAATCCTCACACATCTTTTATCTCTGGTCATTTTCTACTTGATGTTTCTCTTGTAATCCCTGATCATATGCTGCATCAGAGGGGGTGTGGGAAACAGGAATAGTGGGGCCTGAAACCTCACCCCCTGTCTGTCCCCTACAACAGGGCCCCTGGGCTCTGCCAGGAATTGCCAGGAGGCATATTCCTTTCTTGGCCTTGGTTTCTTCACGCATGTATTATGGGGCTGAACTGCAAATAGTTGAAGGGCCTCTAGCTCTCACATTCTTTGATTCAAATTCATTAACAAACATTTTTTAGGTACTTCCTACAAAATCTGAAGTCTTTCCTTCTCATTTGAACTCTACTCCATTCTCCTGTATGTCTTTGGGATGACCATTTACCTTCTTGGGGCTTTAGTGCCCTTGGTTACAGGCTTCCCAGGTGGCTCAGTGGGTAAAGAATCTGCCTGCAGTGCAGGAGATGCAGTAGACGCGGGTTCGATCCCTGGGTCTGGAAGATGCCCTGGAGGAGGGCATGGCAACCGACTCTAGTATTCTTGCCTGGAGAATTCCATGGACAGAGAAACCTGGCAGGCTACAGTCCATAGGGCTGCAAAGAGTCTGATACAGCTGAAGCAACTGAGCACACACACATGTCCTTATTTACAAGTTGAAAGATGATGACAGTAAGCCCGTCTGGGCAAGTTAGGACATAAATAGAGCTTTGGATGTAAAGGTGCCTAGCATAGTTCTATCTCAGTCAGCTTAGGCTGCAGACTGAATGACTTAAACAAGAGACATTGATTTATCACAGTTCTACAGGCTGGGAAGGCCAAGGTCAAGGTGCAGGCAAATTCAGTTTTTGGAGAGATCTTCTTCCTGGCTTGCAAATGCCTACCATTTCACTGTGTGCCTGCGTGACTACTTTGTGCAGCGAGAGAGGGAGAGAGAGAAAGGGAGACAGAGAGGGGACGTGCTCTGTCTGGTCTTGTCGTCTTCTTCTTGTAAAGACTTGAATCCTATTATGGGGCTCCACCCTCACTACCTCACCTAAAACTGTTTCCCAGAGGCCCTGCCATTAGAGCTCAACATATTAATTTTGGGGGAGATCTTTCAGTCCATAACAAAGATTAGACAGTACATTACGGTTGAACTGATTCACTTGGGAAGAACGAACAGGCTGCCTGCTGTGCGTGTGACCAGTGAAGCTTACCACACTGGTGTAGGGAGGAATCAGACATGGACCTTGCTCTTCAGTCAGCTGGCACAGACATTCTAGATGAAAGAATGAGAGGTGACAGCTAAGAAGCAGGCCAGGGAAAGCAGATCCTGGGATCTGAAGAAGAAATAAAGCAGAAGGGTAGGGGCTGAGGACTAGGGAGGACATAACCTGGAATCCCCAAAGTGAAAATGAAAGTCGCTCAGTCATGTCCGACTCTTTGTGACCCCATGGACTGTATCAGTTCAGTTCAGTTCAGTCGCTCAGTTGTGTCTGACTCTTTGCGACCTCAAGAACCGCAGCATGCCAGGCCTCCCTGTCCATCACCAACTGCCAGAGTCTACCCAAACCCATGGCCATTGAGTCAGTGATGCCATCCAACCATCTCATCCTCTGTCGTCCCCTTCTCCTCCTGCCCTCAATCTTTCCCAGCATCAGGGTCTTCTCAAATGAGTCAGCTCTTTGCATCGGGTGGAGTTTCTGCTTCAACATCAGTCCTTCCAATGAACACCCAGGACTGATCTCCTTTAGGATGGACTGGTTGGATCTCCTTGCAGTCCAAGGGACTCTCAAGAGTGTTCTCCAACACCACAGTTCAAGAGCACCAATTCTTTGGTGCTCAGCTTTCTTTATAGTCCAACTCTCACTTCCATACATGACTACTGGAAAAACCATAGCCTTGACTAGACGGACCTTTGTTGACAAAGTAATGTCTCTGCTTTTTAATATGCTGTCTAGGTGAGTCATAACTTAATTCTCCAGGCCAGAATATGGGAGTGGGTATCCTTTCCCTTCTCCAGGGGCTCTTCCCAACCCAGGGATTGAACCCAGGTCTCCCACATTGCAGGCAGATTCTTTACTAGCTGAGCCACAAGGGAAGCCCAAGAATACTGGAGTGTGTATCTCATCCCTTCTCCAGGAGATCTTCCTGACCCAGGAATTGAACTGGGGTCTCCTGCATTGCAGGCAGATACTTTATCAACTGAGCTATCAAGGAAGCCCTAAAGTTACTCTTCTTTTAGAGGTATTTTATTTATTTGTTTTTGGCTGCTTTGGGTCTTCACTGTTGCACAGGCTTTCTCTAGTTGTGGCAAGCAGAGTCTACTCTTTAGTTGCTGTGCACAGGCTTCTCATTTCAATGGCTTCTCTTGTTGTGAAGCACAAGCTCTAGGTGTGCATGGGCTTCAGTAGTTCTGGTGCGTAGGCTTAGTTGCTCCATGCCATGTGAGATCTCCCCTGACCAGGATAGCAAAGGTCACCTGTCATTTCTAAAAGCACTTGTATTGGCAGGTGGATTCACAGCCACTGGACCACCAGGAAAGTCCCCCAAATTACTCTTGATGAATAGGCATTGGCAGGAAGTCCCAGGACATTTTCTGACCCTTCAACACTGAGAGTGAATGTCTACTGGGGAACAGCAGCAAAAGGGCTAAAGGTATGGCATTATTAGTGCCTGATTTAGGAGCTCTGGATAGTAGAGATGTCCGGGACTTCTGATGGGTGGAGGTGAGGCTGGGGAAGCCCAGAGAGAACTTATTTGACTCTTTGAGAATTTTGACCATTCTAGCTGGGAAACTTGGAAGTGTAAAAGGGGCTGTGCAGAGAAGGGCAGGCGTGATAACAAGGAATTCCATCCTAAAAACACTAGATGAGGGTAACAACAGAAGTAATGACCCTCCCCCCCTGCCACCAGTTAGTGTCATGACAACATTTTGCAAGAGGATGGAATTCGGTACCCTCCTTAAGTGTCATTTTTTATTAAGATATCAAGACTCCACGTAGGTGTCATTTGAATAATTTGTTAAAAAAATACTGTATGCAGATCACTGATCAGTTACAAGTGACTAACCTGTCTTCTACTTCTGCCAAATTAGTGTCGTGACAGCACAGACAAGTCATGAAACTGACTTCAGAGTTAGTGCTTTTAGAAATGACGGGTGACCTTTGCTATCCTGGTGAGTACTTTCACCCACCATTGCTAATGAAAATAAAGTAGTATTGGTAGAATTTTTGCCCAGCACCTATAGTCACTGTTCTCCCTTTTTGTGGGTAGAGGGAAGGATGGGGATGACATTTCCAATAAGGGGCCTTTTCCTGTCGCTTTTCTTCACGCATCGTTGACCTCAATAGGCGTCTCCAGCAAAGAGACAAGGAGTAAATCTCTGAGTTACTCATTGAAATCCCAGAAGCCTCTCCAGAGACACATCTTGAATCGACGTTCTGGATCAGTTTGTACAGTGCTCTGCACGCTGACTCTCTCAGGGGCTTCAAGTCACCAAAAGTGACCAGTAAATTGGCTTTAAACAGGAGACTGACGAAGCTGGGTACCTTATGGGGAGGGCTGGTTCCACCTTCCCAGGAAGGCTTTGGTACCGCCCCCGCCAGGCCAGTAGGAGGCGCGCGCGCCCCCTGGGGCTTGGAGGGGACGCGGGCCCGGCGCCCGAGTCCCCGCGTGCGCGTGATTGGCGGCGGGGCCGCGCACGCCAGAGCTGGGGAACGGGGCGGGGGGCAACGCGGGGCCATTTCCGGGCGGGGCGGGGAGGGGCGGGGCCGCCGGCGGCCGGATCTTTAATCTCGGCGGCCGCCGGTGAGTCGGTCTCACTGTGAAGAGAGGCAAGGCCGGCTAGAGAGTGTCGGGAGGGAAGGAGCGCGGGAGCTGGTTCCCGGCTGTCAAGGTTTACTGGGCCCCCGCGGACCCGAGGAAGAAGAGGGGTCCGCGCTGGGGAGGAGGGCTTTGGTTTGGGTTTGGAGAGAGTCGGGACTGAATGGGAGGCGGGTCCTGGCCGGGGCGGAGGAGGAGTGTCGGGACGGCGGGGGGTCCTGATGCGGAGGGGCTGCGGACAGCTGCAAGGGCAGGGCCGGACCGAGAGGCCAGCACCTCGGGGGCGGGCTTGGGTTCGGGCTGAGGGTAGGGGCGTAGGCCACCCGAGGTCTTGAGTTGAATGCCAGGTTAGCGCATGGGTGGGGGAGGCGCCAGGGCCGAGACGGAGCGGGATAAGAAACTCCACTCGCGGGCGCGGTAGGAGTGGTCTCGCGGCGGGAAGGTTTGCCGATCCTTCCCCGGCGAGGAAAGGGTTGTGTGGAGGGAGGGATGAAGTCTAGAACGAGGCCAGCTTGTTTCTGAAGAGCGGCCAGTGGAGGCTGGACCCTGGGGCTGGGCTGCCTGGAGCGGCCGCTGGTCCGCCGGGTTAGTTTGAAGTGGGCGGGGCTCCGGGCCTCGAGGCCTCTGTCCGCTGCGGGCTGGGCGTTTCCTTCGTATCTACCTGGGAGGGAATTGCTTTTGTAGAGGGGCTGGCTCTGGTGGCGTTTGGTCAGCGGCGGGAGGGAAGCAGAGTGCCAGCAGGATTCTTAATTCGCTGGGTTGGGGTGCTGGGCTGTAGTGTGAAAGCGCGGAGTGAAAGCTGAGCTCTCCAAGGAGGGAAAAGAACCATTTCTCTGCAGCTCTGGCGAATATAGGCGGGCCAACGGGACAGTTTGTATCGTTAGAAGTAAACAAACCTGGTTCCCTTTTGCAGAGGGGAGACACTGAAAGGACATCTGGGAGAGGAAAATGCCCAGTACAGACCTAATGTCGTTGGTGAGTCCTTTTCCAAATATCTTTCTTGTTGTAAGGCACTTTCCAGTATGTTTTATTTTTAGTCCAAAGGATGAGTGTTTAGATTTCATCTCTGATGCTTGCCTTTGGTAGCTGAGAATTTCTGCCTCCTTTTATTTTGGATTTAATGATTAGATGGGTAAGTGACTGAAATAAATGTATGAATATATATATTTAACGAATATGAAGAATATTTTGCAAAATTCTTGCAGTTGATTTTAATCTCTCCCTTCGTATACTACCAGAACCGTTTAAAAACTTCAATGAAATTTTGTCTGGATCTGCCATATATTAGTTTATAAGTGTTAGTTTCCCAGACTAGAGTTATTCCCTGGAAGGCAGATATCTTGTCTTATTTGTTTAGAGGTGATAAACACCTGTCATGGTGCTCTGTATATAATAAGTTGTTAATTGCTGAATTGAGCTAGTTTGAATTTACTTTCTTCTGTTGTGGTGAGGTGTTTGGCCTGTTTTGGTAGAGGCTGTTTTTTTCCCTCTCCTCTTGAGATCTTTCTGTGCTGGTTTTTTTTTTTTTTTTTTCCCAGTGAGCAGGGAAAATAGAATTGCCAAATGAATGTTTACCAAAATGACGTTTTATTCTTGGGACATTTGTGGATTCCATAGAAGTTCTTTATTGATTTTTATTTTTTTCATAGAGGGTGTTAGTGAGAAAATTGTGAGGAACCCATGATTTTCAAATAGCAGTGTGTTTAGTTGTTAATAAGTTACGTCTTTGAATCTGATGTCTCTTTGTACAAAGGGACATTGATTTGAAAACATTTCCTTTCCCTCTCTTGATGTCACTATCCCAGAGCATTGATAGCTGTCACTGGGAAGTTGACAAAAACTAGTAGTGAGTTTTTTTTTTTTTAATATCCATGGCTGATGTCCTGTAGTGTCAAAATCTCTAAGGTCTGCAGGAGAGGTTGAGAGATCAACCAAATTGTGGAGAGCAAGGATGACTCTGGAGACATAGACAAGTACTTGGTTTATCCAAGATTCAGATGAAAGGTTCTAAAATAGGTGTTTTTTTTTGCCTCAAATTTCATACATTGTCAGTAGATAATAAATTTTGTTCTGTAATATTAAACTCTTATTACAAGAGCAGTTTTAGAAGAATTGGAAGCTGTTAATAAGAGGAAGCAGCCCCCAATAATTCTGCTATTCAGAAATAGCCACTGTTAGCACCTTGTAGAATGATCTGCAATAATTGGCAATTTCTTTCTCTTTTATAAATCAGTATGTATATGTAAATTAAGATTCCTATATGTTAGTAGGATACAACTCCATGCCCAGAGATGTGTGTATTACTTCCTGGGCCTGTAGGCTCCCTTTTAGCAGTCCGAGCAGTGAGTGCTTTTATTTAGAATATTAACTTTGGAATCAGTTTTGTTTTGAAGTATTTCTCTAGCTATCGCTACTGCTTTTCATTTCCTTGTTTGAAAATCTAGATCGTTATGGGTGTTGCTTTGCTCATTGGTGTAAGGAATTAAATCGTATGGATAGCAGCTGGCCCTTGAGAATCATCACTCTCTGAAGACACTGTATGTGTTGCTTGAGGTGCTCTTGATGGAAGAATTGTCCTTCTTTCTTTGACTGTACTGTGCTAAATGGTAAAGAACCAGTGACCAGGGCTGGGTTTTCAATGAGGATGCTATAAACGTTTGGTCAAGATCTGAGTTCAGGGTGTTTCTCTGTACTTGCTTTGTATCTTGTGATGCATTACACATGTTCTTGGCCCTCTAACTGGAAAGAAAGGACTCTAGTTAATAGAAGATAACCTCAGCATAGGGCAGCATATGGTAGAATTTCAGAATTAGAAACAACCTTGCAAGTTGTATGATGCAACTTCTTACTTTTATTGTACATGCATCCTTTTTAGAGTATCTCTGCGAAGTGAATATCCAGTCATCCATCTTTTCTCTTGCGGGAATCAGATAGGCATAAGCTAAGATACAATAAGAGATGGATTCAGGAGTAATAATGTAAGTCTGATAGCTAACATTTATTAAGCATATATTATGCATTAGGTGCAGAAATAGATATTCTACATACTCATTTAATTTTCCTAAAATTCCTTGAAAAATATGCTGGCATTCTCCTTTTATAGATGAAAAACTAGACTTAGCATATCATAGCAATGAAGTGGTGGAGCTTTATCTTAACCACAGTTGGTCTGTCTTAAAAACCCTCTTTCTTCGGCCATTAAAAAGAATTCATTTGAATCAGTTCTAATGAGATGGATGAAACTGGAGCCTATTATACAGAGTGAAGTAAGCCAGAAAGAAAAACACCAATATAGTATACTAACACATATATATGGAATTTAAAAAGATGGTAATGATAACCCTATATGCAAAACAGAAAAAGAGACACAGATGTACAGAACAGACTTTTAGACTGTGGGAGAAGGCGAGGGTGGGATGTTCTGAGAGAACAGCATTGAAACAAGTATACTATCAAGGGTGAAACAGATCACCAGCCCAGGTTGGATGCATGAGACAAGTGCTCAGGGCTGGTGCACTGGGAAGACCCAGAGGGATGGGATGGAGAGGGAGGGGGGATCGGGATGGGGAACACATGTAAATCCATGGCTGATTCATGTCAATGTATGGCAAAAAACACTACAATATTGTAAAGTAATTAGCCTACAACTAATAAAAATAAATGGGAAAAAAAACAACAACCCTCTTTCTTGTCTACTTTGTGAAGCTACCTCTAAGTTGTCTTCATGGAAAGGCACAGAAGTTACTGAACTTTGTGGCTGTTGAGAGCAGGTTTGTGTGGAGGAGGAGTGAAATAGTTCTGTCCTCTAAGGGGGCACTTTGGAAGAGTGGGGGAGGGTGCTTTTGGCTTCTGATCTAATCTTGTCTGAACATACATGTTTTATTATACAGATCTTCATGTTTGTTTTCTCTTACATTGCAGTTGGGGCATTATCTTGAAATTTTTAAAAGTTATAATGTTATATTCTTCGAATTTCATTTCATAATAAAGGACATTATGAAATATTAGTTATAGAAAAGGGCATTGGGTCTGATAGGGTTGAAAACTACTGTGTGGGGGGCAGTAAAACTCGAAGGTGAACTGGAATCCATGTGTAACAAACCTAGGATTCCAGATGAAAACTCCTGGGCTCTCAGCCCTCAGTGGTTTCCTGTCCTTGATTTTGTCTTCATTTGATTAAGGTGATATGCCTGCCTTTTTTCCATTTGCTCATTTATGCCATGGACTATAATACTTTCCACTTATGTCTCAGAGAGAATAAAATGAATGAGTGGATTCATTCATCTGAGAATTGCAGCACTTTCAGAGGGAATTCAAGTCTGGAAATCTTTTAGCAATCTTTCTCCACTTTAGCAACCATTCTTTTTATCCATATTTTTCTCCTTCCTAGTGCTCAGGGGCTAGATCACTTTGAGAGTTGCAAAATACTCCTAGATTTTAAGAAAAAGATACTTTGTAAAGGTAAGTCTACCTTTTAGACCTGTCTAAAGGGGTGGTGCAGTGTTACTGTATGAACTGTGGTAGGCTGGGTGGGTTTTGAGTGACAGGTGTTTATCTAGGGTTGAGGTTCTCAACCAGGAGCAGTTTTTGCTCCCCTCCCCGCCATGGCCCATGGACATTTGGCAATGTCTAGAGACATTTTTAAGGGCTTCCTTGCTGGCTCAGCGGTTAAGAATCCACCTGCAATGCAGGAGTTGCAGGTTCAATCCTTGGGTCAGAAATATCTCCTGGAGTAGGAAATGGCAACCTGTTCAGTATTCTTGCCTAAAGAATCCCATGGACAGAGGGGCCTGGAGGGCTACAGTCCATAGGGTTGCAAAGAGCCGGACACGACTAAGGTGAGTGAGCATAAGCACAGTGATAGTTGGGTTATTTTGCCCATGTGTCAAGCTCTGCTACTTTGGAATATACATTGGAGAGCATAATTTTCTGAAGCATGGTAAAATTTCTAAGAAATGCTGTCTTTTACTACATTTCTGCAACACTGTTTTCTTGATTTGGAAGCAGTAAACCTGTCTCAGTTTTTTTTTTCAGGTTCAAAAATCAAATCTTTCCAGATCTTAGAGCTTTATCTTTGACCCTTGAATCCTTTTCAGGGATGCTTTCTTAATGACTCTCTAATGGAGTTGAAGCAATCAACTGAAAGATGGACATTAAAAGCTCATTTCTGTTATTTGAATCTGATGTCTTATTTGTAGGCTTGTCTAGAAGAGAGGGAGGACAGGCAGGACACTTGAAATTTTGTTGACAGTTTGAGTGGCCATTATAGGATGAGCACTGGTTTTGGTGGTGTTCTAATTTTGTAAATAAAGCAAAATATAATAGCAAGTATGATAATTTCTCCAGTTTTTGGTGTGAAGGATGAGCCATTGTACAATGAACACTGGTTTTGGCGTTGTTCTAATTTTGTAAATAAAGCAAAATATAATAACAAGTATGATAATTTCTCCAGGTTTTGGTGTGAAGGAAAGGGAAGTTATAAATAGATAATCCCTAAATCTCTGGCTTGACTTTACAGTCTGTGTGTCAGGAATTTTTAGTAATATATACCTTCCTAATTAGGTTTTGCACAATCTAGTATTACATGCAGTTTGTTCACATTGGTGGCAGAAATGGGAATCAGCTTGGGATTGAGACTTTTCCATAGGGAACTGATTTGCAGTGAATCAGTCCTCGTGTGGAAACACACAGAATGCAATTACTGAGGAAAAACCATGTTAAGGGGTAAGGGGAGAGAAAGGAGCCATTCAATGGGGGGAAGATGGAACAGTGCAGGCTGAAAATAATTTGTTGGGTCTGTCAGTTATCTCCTGGCGCACTCCAACAGTGTGAGTGCCCAGAGTTAGGGAACACCAGCGGGGTTGGTGTTAAGAGCCATTAGCTGTCTTAGGCCTGAAAGGGCAAGAGAGGGACTTGAAAGAGAGAGTAAGCTGTGGGAATGCAACCATTTCCGACCAGTGGCCTAGCAGGAGGGG